TCCGATTATTTATTTGCATGAAATTAAATATCCCATAAGATGACCTAACAAATTTTGAAATCCATAGTACAAAAGAATTTCACTCAATACGATGTAGTATTGAAAAACTTATTCATTGATAAACCTAATTTTTTATTTATTTATCCTGAAGTCATATCATATCATAACATGAGTAAGTTTTTGAGAAGGCAGACGACCTGTTAGTACATTGTCAATCGGCAATGGCGTATTGAGCGTAATTTGTTATTTAATTTAGGCTTTAATTGACTGATATAAACCATTTCTAGGAGAAAAAGCTTCTAGTATTCTTCAAACAATTTTCGTACTTCACCACCACCGTCATAACCAATCAACTGCACGTTCTTAATTAATTAATTAAGTCCGAGTCTAAACGATAATAAATTTGTGTCTGAAGAAGTTTAATGAAGAAAAAGTATTCCTGTGGACGTAGACCTTGATGATGTGAAATTCGGCATGAATCCTGCTAGTAAATCTCAACTTAAGAGAATCATTTAATAAATATTCATTAGAAGTTATTATAAATTATAGCTACTAAACGCGAATATTTTCAAATGTATGCATATATATGATCTCAATTTCCCCATACCTGGGATGCAACAAATCAATTCAGCTACGATTTGAGGAAATATCCCACTTCTGTGCCCATTTACCCATACATTTTACTCCCTTCATTGGGAATATAGCCTCATTATAATTTCTTTCACAATCCACTTGGTACGAACGAATCGGCAAGTGCAACCTCGTACTTGCAGGTGCATTTTGCCACGTGATAACTTACTTAGTTACTCACCGAAAAAAGTGATAGAGGATTGTACAATAGACTGCTCAGTACTTTTTGATATATCTGCAACATACACTTCACCGTGAGAGTGGGCCTGCACTTTGTTCCAGCGGTAATTATTTTTGAACGGTGGCTAAGAGAGTGCATTTGATTGCTTCTCGCTGCTGCCTATGTCTGATCATATTGAGCTGCGAAGTTTAAGAAAACATCTATTAAACATGCAAATCGAATCCTACTCCACTTCCATTCAAAAACTGCCAACATTTTCATAAAGCCAGAAAACAGTATATATGTTCCCGATTATTTATTTGCATCAAAATAAATTCTCGACTAACTAACTGAACGCTCTGTTCTTTTGGAACAGAAATAAGTTCATCAAGATGACTTCTAAAATCCATAGTACAGAAGAATTTCCCATTAATGTGATGTAGTACTTAAATACTTTATGAAACACCTAATTGGCAATTATTTATATTGAATTTTTACCTCGAAATCATGCAAATAAATTCGAGATCTACTTCATCGACCGCATATGACCCGTACATGTTTCCTGAACAATCACTATGCTATTCATTCGAATTAATTTCTACCATACTTATGCCTATTATTCGTGCGCATTAATCAATGAGCTATAGACAATTCAAATGCCTGCTAATATGTTTGGCGCTATAAAGTGAGCTATCCCATCACAGTTAACGTATCAAATAATTGCTCGAAGAAATGCTCACTACTCAAGAATTTTGATTACGAATTGTCCTAATATTTACATTTTCTATGTACTCTCGTAGAAAACTCATTCGACCGAAAACTAAGCTAAATATATATATCACGAACCCTTGAATGGTTTCGATTTCATTTGAGACAATTATTTCTATGTGTGATCCCTATAATTTTATACATCGGCAACGTTGTCTCTCAACTCTGATATTCTAGGATGCTTTAAATGCACTAATTACGGTAAATTACCTCAGTTCTGTTTTTTTTTTAATTTTAGGTAAAGAAGTCGGTAAATCACCGAAAATGGTGGATATATTAACGATTATGGGCAGGATTATCCATCATTCCATCAAGCACTGGGGGCAGGGTTGTCAATCCGTGCATGTTTAAACATATATAGTCACCGGGGCTACCGTGCATGGTTAAACATATATAGTCACCAGGGATACCAAGCATGGTTAAACATATATAGTCACCAGGGCTACCGTGCATGGTTAAACATATATAGTCACCAGGNGTTCGTATATAAGAAATTCTGTTCAGTTTTAAATTAAGGAAGACTATGAAGATTAAGTTTGAATAGTTGTTAACGTCTAGGATAAGGAATTAACAGTTAGGAGCTTGGAAGGAGGTGACAGATTGTGCATTCTAGATTGCTGTATAATGTACAGCATAATATGTGCATTTTCCCTCTATATTAACTTGATTCAATGCATGGAATGGGCCCCTAGTCCTGTTAATGCATACAAGTCCACTTCTTTGGTTGGACCCAACATTGCGAAGTCGTCTATGATGCATTAATTACTTTGGCCTTATTGCCGGCCTTAAACCGTAACCTTAACCTTATTACTAATTAACTTATTTACTAAATTAGCTGAGTTGGGCCAACCTATTACTAACCATTGCACATTTTATCTAAGTCAAACCTCTGAATGGCATCTAATCCCAGTCAATCGCCAATGTGGGTAACGATGTCGAGTAGTGTGGGTTACTGTAGATACGATGCAGATCCGACCACTCGGAGATTTGGAGGTCGAATTTCCCTAATCAATCTATACAGATGCACAACGAACTATCGACTTTGGGTTTATCGTTGCAGATCGAAGTATGTGAGTGTAGACAACTTCTCAGAGCAAACCAAAAAATTAATGCGCAAATTTGTCGGTTGGCTATTCAATCTAATAGAATAATGAATCAGAATTTGATATACACCTTATTTATGATAAAAGGTGTTCATGATTGTATAAACTCATATTAAGTGATTATATGCCAACTATATATTATTCCTAAATGACAGAGTTTAAACAAAAAATTCGTGGTCCTTCAATTATTCACTTCACTTCTATAGTTTTATCAAGTTCCCAAATGTTATGTTGTCGTTTGTTATTGGTCGCCATCCCGTTTCTAAATCACGTTAAAATTATGTTTCATTAAATAATTCAAGACGATTTATATATCGGATGAAATATTAGTTCTCTATCATAAACTCAAATTACTTCATGTAAACGAGAAATTTATAAATGCAAACCGTTTAGCTCGATATCGTTTTGCTCGAGCTTTAGAACGAAAATTACAATCTTCGTCTTGCGTGTGGCAACATCTCACTGATTTCACCACCTTTTCTGAGGCGCCTGTTGTCGTTAGTTTTCATTTAGTAATAGTTCAGCCTGCTGTGAAAGTGATTACTACTAAAATGTATACAACTTAAAATTCCATCGTCCGATTAGTTGGAAAAAACTATTTTTATGTATTAAATAAACATTTGTGAAATGTCAACTTGGTCATGTCGGTTGGCAACCATGTCTGTCGGTTGTTGGCCATTGCTGTGTTGTATCGATCATTGCTGTCAATGAGTCGGTTCTATAGTGACATTCAAATCGAATAGCTGCATGCCAAGTCAACCAAGTTAATAAAAATTGTTTAACGTTTCAAAAAGCTTCGAAATGTTCTTGTTCAACTTACATTCCATTTTATTTCTGACCAGTTTTGTTTGGTTTTCGTATATTTTTTCGGAGCATGCTTTGCGCGCAGCAGCTTCACTGGCTTTGTGTGCAGGCTGTAGCCTGTTGGTGACTAGGGAGGAACTCTAACCTCTGTCATTACCGTGGATGGATGGCGACTCCTGCATCACGGTTTAATGATGTAAATTGATAATTGTTTCGATAATTTATTTATGTAGGTTTCTCAGTCCACAACACCCTTTCCACTTGTTGAAAACCAATTTTTCTCAACTAAATGTTGAAGTTTTCTTCAGCAGCTACAACTACTCAACTAGTATAGCATAGTGATGTCAGTGTTGAAGAATAGGTTAAGTTGTGACTGTCACCAAGTCTTTTAATTTAAGAGACTTGGTCACAGTAGATTTAAAAACTTTCATTTTTGACCAGCTCTTTTCAAAATTAAAATTGAACCTAGGCTGTGTGTTGCTGAAGCCTGTGTCCGCCGTAGGGTGGAATACTAACCAGTTGCAATACTGTAGCGTGTGGCTGTAGGTATATGAATGGCAACTTCTGAATCACTGACACTTTATGATGTTTATTGTTTAATGATATAAATTGATAATTATTTCAATAATTGATTTATGTACTGATGTGTAAGAACACCTTTTCCAGTTGTTGACGACCAATTTGTTTTCTTATCTGAACGTTGCAGTTCACTTCAGCAGCTACAACTAGTATAGCATAGTTAATAGTAGTGTCAGTGCTGAAGAATAGGCCAAGTTTTGACTCACGAAGTCTTGTAATTTTAGAAACTTATTCACAGGAGAATCAAAAACTTTCATCTCTGAGCAGCTCTTTTCAAAATTGAATTGAACCTACTGGAATCATGTCAGGTCAGTAATGTGGAATGGACTTCTGGTAACTTAATTACTATTTTGATTGTCTGACTTTTTTAACTTGAAATTTTAGTTGTTATATCACCAATTGAGCTTAAAAATCTATATATGCTCTGCAATTGGTAAATGGATGTGAAATATTTGTCTCAATAAGCATAATTCAAGATCATTCAATTTTTAATTCATTTTTTACTTTAATTAATTTTTGTGGAAGCTAGCATGCAACACAGTTGAAGTGTTGGGAAAGTGATTATCATGTTGATATAAGAAGCAGAGATTTAAAGTAGTTGTTACTTGTAAATCATCTCATAAAAAATTAGGCAGCAGGCATTGACTCTACTGACTGCAACATATCACCACTTTATAGCGACTTGAAATAAATTTGCATGTCATACTGCCACTCATGGGTGCAGGTATGGATAATTTTTGCATTCTTATCAAAACTGTGGATTGAAGATTAGTGTTTATTGCTATTACTCGCAGTCTAGAATTTAGAGGACTACTATTTGAACACTGACCAATTTCATGTTGAAAACTATTGACTGAAATTGATTTTTTTTTTTCAGAAAATAGCTGATATTTTTTGATAAACTGAGTGATCCAGCAGGATTGATGTTGAAATAATCATAACTTCACTTTAAGAATTTTTGAGCTGTGAATCATTTTCAGAGATGTGAATCTAAATTTCTTATCTGCTACTCAGTTGCTGTCTTGTAGATATAGTGCCAAACTTGATAATATAACTGTTGCATGGATTTTTCTTCATTACAAGGTAAATTATAGGTTAATATTGTAATCTTATTTTCTGTTGATCACTGAGGCTCATGATTGTTTGATTACTGAAATGATGGAAATAATTAAGTCAATAATCAAATGGATATGCCACTTCAATTTGAATTCAGTTGCAATTTTGGCAGATACAAACAGTAGGATTTCAGATTCAACAATTATCAATACCAACAATTATATATATGTTAATATAATGATTCTATAACTTCTTACATGTGGCACCTAATTCCATTATTATTTAAAAAAATTTTATTGTAGGTTACCACTAATCCTAAATAGGTGTGAACAGGAATTGTCCGACCTTAAATCCTAATCTGGCCTTTAATCTCTAAATATATCTAATCATATCAAGTTTCTCTAGAAGTTTAGGCTAATGACCTTATTTTTCGTCATGTAAAAAGTTTACATCATGCCAAGTGCTCATCAATAGCTATTAACCTCATGAAGTGTTTCACCACCTGACTTTTCTCATGATTTCATTTACTGTACGTACTCCATTACAGGTCAGAGTCACTCAAGACTAAAATCCAATTTTTGAGGTGTTGTGAAGAATGCATTCTTCATTTAGGCAATAATAATAAAAATATATTTCAGTACTCACTGCAGTGAGTGACAGAGAGCGCATTTTCTCGTCGACGATAACTTGAGGTCACGGACGGACGGACAGACGGACAGACGGACATGGCGAGCACAATAGTGCATTTTTTTCTATAAATGAGAAAATGCGCTAAAAAGTTACTATGTTCCTAAGGAACATAAATTGCTTCACGGTAGCTAAATGCATGACCTATACTATAATGCCCCCCAAAAATAGCTTCTGATCTTCTACTTGTTATTACAGCTATTTTTGCGAGTTGAGACGGTTGCTCCAACCTCGACGGTGATGATGGATTGAGCGGTTCAGCTATTGGTCCTACCTGTCTCGACTTACACTCCTTCGGGAGCAGCCGGTCAAAGGAAATACATTGACAAGCAGTAAGTTGATTGTGAATTTGATGTACAATGTAATCTGTGCAACAATTATCAATTATTAAATTGTATTTGTCATTACCATTATATTATTAAAAATATGTCTAACCAATATTCAACGCTCCTTTCAATAATCACCAAGTCGTAGCAGCCTTGCTGACATTTGTTAGCAAGGCCTAATTGTCCTTAGGTGAAGCTGCACAACTCCAAGGAGTATTTGAGCTAATTCAAAGATGCCGTAAACAGGAGTGACTTTACCGTAAATTGGCATGAGTTCGTCTAGCAAAAAGAGTGGTTTTGCATCATTGATTGCATCAGTCAGATTGTGTTGATCAAAGCGGCAGTGCTAAAAAAAGTTCAGTATAGGACTCATAATTCTCGCGATCCCAGTAAAGTTTTCAGCTGAAATCCAGTCATGCACCTTACTTACAATAGCTTCAATAGTGACCTGTCAAGTGATTTGACCATTTAAAAATATTTTCAGGTGAGGGCGCAACGTTGAAGATGACTGACTGGGGCTTGGCCCGGTATACCTGGTGGCCAGGGTTCATCCTACCGCCCCATCTTCCATCTTCCAGCAGTCAATTCCTGGACTCACACGTGGACAACCTCACGATCTTCGTGTCTTCCTCGATTCCTGACGCTGCGGAGGCTGACCTTGCTGGGCTTCTTCGAGGCGCCTCCGACTGGTCTGCCTCCAAGAAACTGGCAGTAGCATCGTGCAAGTCATCCGTCACGTTCATCACCACAGACACCCACCAATCCCGCTCACCCCCTTCCGCCACTATATGCAACAGCAGTATCCCTCTAGAGATTCTAGATAAAACTCCCAAAATTCTAGGCGCACCTCGGATACCCACTACACGTCTTCACCACGCGTCAGAGCCACAGCCACTAAAGCGGTGGGCTCTCTACGTATCCTAAAAGCCATGGCTGGCACCAACGGAGGTTTATCCAAGGCGGACCTCATCGCCGCCTACCGGACAATCACGCGCCAGATCCTCGACTGCGCTACCCACCACCGATTGCATCAGAAGAGGCCTCGCTTCCTCGCCCCCACCGCACTGCTCTATCCCAGCTCCGCTCGGGATACTGTAGTTCCCTGGAGTACTACACCTTAATTCAGGGTTGGACGCTCCCCCAGCAGCACCTGCCAGGAAAGCGGGGGCCCCCTCCAGTTTGTCCAGCACGGCTTTACCTGCCCCTCCTTCCCGTCTCCTCATTGTGGGACAGTTCCGAAGAGGCGGCGGCGTTCCTGGCCACCCTTTCTGCCTTCGCCCATCTCCCTCCTCTTCCGGTACCTCTCCCTCGGCCACCACCAGAGCCTCCACCCCTGCTAGCGTGACGCCGGTGCCAGAAACAACAACTGGGGCTTGGGAGCTTCGTGAGCCACATTCAAACCATATCCCATGGTGAGCATGATTTAGAACGGTGGGAGAAAATAGCGGCATGACGCTCCTGCAGCATCTGTTCCCTATACTGCATGGTTCATCTTTCCTTGGTGTGGAAGCTGTGAATTGTATAACTGCTACCGCGTTGTAGTCTTCTGTACAGCGGGTGTGATTACCGCCCACCGGTGAGCTCACTGCACTTGCTACAGCTGGGTCAACCAGTGTCACGCAGTCCTTCCGTCCTACAATCTTGAAATTGTGTTCCGACATTCAGCTCACTGCATAAAAAAATTATGTAATGAAGTGGTACTGGTCAGTGCGTCGAAATTGAACCTTGTCAACATAACAATTCATTCGTGATAAACATCAAATGCTTTCGGTGAATACTAGAAAATACTAAAAAATGATATTAGTTAATATTTAGAAAACTCTTCTCACTATTTAGTTTAATTGACAGTGCCTGGAAAGTTATTCAATATCAAGATTATGATGATTGAGGTTAAAATATAATTTAGCCATACGGCCCTAGTTAAATAAGAACCTTATTTTAATTTGTTGGACATCTTACTCGCTCCTGCTGAGTAAATAAATTTCATATGCTACAAATAACTGTGATTGATTAGTTAGGAACAAATTTGATATTGAATTGAAGGAAATAAGTCGATCAGAAAGAATTTGACTCATGTCACTATTTTTTAGTGGTTGAGTTTCTTACATATATCTGCAATTCTACAGGCATTTCTTTAATAATCGGAATTATATGGCGTAAGCGTAACATTTTTATTTCTCAAATTTGCTGGACGTCTCCCTGATGAGTTAATAAAGTTTTTGTGTTGATGAAGTTTTTCGATGAGTTCATAAAGTTTGTTGATGAGTTGATAAAGTTTGTTATCAATTTCATTGTGATCAAGTTTGAAACTCGATCCTTCATGCCATACTTTGAATCCTAAATCAAATCATAGTGTATTACAAACACGAGCCACATGTTTTCACTGTCAGAGTTATTACCGTATCGGTGTTAAATTTTTACGACTGCACGAACTTATTTTTCGATAAAACCTTTTATTATTTCCCATTTTTTGTCTACTTCATCTCATGTCATAGTTTGCTTCTATGTTTCAACTTTTTTAACGAATAACTGCTTTGAGTAACAACCATGATTAATCTGTTGAATTGTATTCAGAAGACTGATACAGGTTAATAATTTATGGAGTCGTGACAGCATGTACAGTATGTTTCTTGCACACGCTGAAATATTTTGCACACGCGTGGATTTAATTTCTGCGTTGTATGTAATGTGAATTTTATAGAAGTAAATTGTTTTATATTGATCTGATTTTATTTCAACTTTCGTTCAGTTATAGGAAATTTATTATATTCGTACAGTAGGGTGTAAAAACTGTTAATATTCAGCAATCGATTTATGAAGATTCGGCAGCGATTAATATAGATTCGACGTAGATCAACGATGATTCGCCATAGATTAATGCAGATTCGGCTTCAGCTACTGTAGATTCGACATCGTTCGATGCAAATTATTCGACTCGACAAATTATCGGGAGCGGAAACTTTGAAGATCTTCACAGAATCGGCATAGAATGCTCCTCTTTAATCGGTGCTGCGCCCCGCGACATTGCCCCTGTAATTATCGCCTCCAAACTGGGTTTTGCCTTCGTCGATCGAGCAGGAATCTGCATCAATATTCTTGATCGAACCACATCAATCTCCGTCGATCGATCACGACTTGATTGACTGGGAATGGCACTTCTAAATGGAGCCAGCGGCAATAATTTAGAAGGTTGATGAATCAATACTTGATCGCAATTAACTATACGATATAATTGACATTATATTGTTCAATTAAGAAGCCCATTGTATTTTACTGTAATTCAAGAAGTTCTTTTTGTTACGTTACAGTATAATGACGCACATCACACGTCACCCATTCTGCGTGAGCTATGTCGTAAGGAACGCCTCGTCTATTTGCTGCTGCCATATTTCGTGTCGCAAGGTTAATACTGGGAATAAAGATCACTGTCAAATCATATGCCGATAAATTGGATTACAGAATATGATCATATAAAGCATACTTGAACTACGTTTGCCAGTTAATCAGACTGTTTTTTTTTCTTGTTGCAGTTGCTCCGCTGCTTCTTCACTTCTTATTCTCTTGCCTTCTTACCTTCTGAGAGGCAATACTCTCAATAATGCGAGTGAAATGTATTCGTGAAATCGGCACAGAGGGAGAGAGCAATCAGAGCGGCAAAGTGAGAAGGGGGCCTTCCCAGGGAGAATACACTATCTTCATACACCATATTCATCATTAGCAACTTATTTGCTTCCTAAAGTAATAGAAGATGAAGTGGTGGGTGGACTTTAAGCAGGCTTAGAATATCATATAGTAGGTGAAAACGTTGCTTGAGCGACGCAGTTGGGGGTCTTATCCATTAGGAAAATATTTCAAATTACGCATATGGTATTACGCATCTTTTACGTATATGGTGTTTGGTTTTTTTATCTTTTACGCATATGGTATTTCCTGATGATAACAAGCCTTGGTGCAATACATGTTGGCTGCTTGTCTGCTTTGATAGTTTGAATCATCGACCCACATTTTCGAGTTGTAGATATAATTCAACTATTCTCTACGTTCATAGTTTTCATGGGAGTTTGTATCAAAGTTAGGTTAGGTTAGGTTTCAAAATGGTTAGTAGGTTTATAAAAAAGTTTTTTTAGACCGAAGTGCTCCCCTTAAATAAAGATGTTCATGAATTATTCATAGGTTAAAATGGCGAGAATGCACGTGCTTGCTCGCTGCTATTATTCATTGAACAGAATAACAAATCATTAATAACAGAACAGGGCTAATCACTAATAAACATTACTACACCATTAATAATTAACAGGAACATCGAATTACTAGCGTAGTGTCATATACACGAGTAAATTCTTAGTTTTAAATTCAATTATTTTGTTCTCTGTGCAAGAAAAAAAATAGTTCAGGGCTAACTCATGTTAGAAACGCTGTCATGATACACTTCAGAGGTTTGGTGAATTTTTTAATGCTTTTTTTTAAAGCATAACTTAAGGCCAATAGCTAGTGATAAATATAAACGGTACAGATGCGAAAGACAATCGTTGAAATATTAAGGAGTTACTAATGAATATTTATCAACAACTCGCGTTGCCAATACCTAATTTAACACAAATGTATACATGCCATCAAATGGACATTTTCTAATTGCGTGACTAGAGGAGTTCCAGTTCGATATATTCGCATTGCTATCTGTGGAGGGAACAGTAACCCCGCGGCGTATTAGGCCTATTTTAGGCCTATTAAAAATATCTTTAAACTCTTCAAATTATTTTATGCTCATTTATTGCATTCATTTAAACTTTTTACATTGTAATTCCGACAAATTCAGTATAATGTGGCATGAATATAAATTTAATTTGAATAAATAACCACACAACTAACCATTATTACCTTAAATATAAATTTAAATCATATGATAAATTCCGGAGTCTACATCTTTTTGGTGGGTAACATAACAGGTCATATCGGTGGGCGGAGACCCGTTGGCAAGCCAGTCTTTGAGATGGCAGACGACCTGTTAGTTCATTGCTAATCTGCAATCCGCATGTTGAACTTAATTTACTATTTAATTTAGGCTTTACTTGACTGATATTCTAATAATAATATTCAAATATTCTTATAGCAATATTCGTACGTCACGTCCACCATCATTCCCATTCGTCGGCACGTTTTGAAGTCCCATTCTGAACGGTGATAAATATGAGCCTGAAGTTGTTTAATGAAGAAAAAGTACTACTGCGGACGTAGACCTTGATGATGTGGAATCTGGCATGAATCCTGCTAATTGATATCTACTTAAGAGAAAAATTCGGTAAATATCCATTAGAATTCTTCTATAATTATCATTACTATACGGGATTTTTTCCAAGTGTGTACAAATATTTGATGTCAATTCCCCCATATCAGGAGTTCAACAAATCAATTCGGCTACGATTTGAAAAGGTATAGCACTACTGTGCCCATTTCACCCACATCAATATGAATAATGCCTCCTTCTAATTTATTTCACTATCCACTTGGTGCGAACGAATCCTTCTAGACTCTAGTTTTATAGAAAAA